ATCTGCGCGCACATGAACGACAGCTCCCTAGCGATGAACATGCATGCACTCAAGATCATCTGCTCATATTGTAATTGTAACACACCGCAAACATGTGCTCATCGAAGCTATGGCCAAAACATTGTCTTGTCGCGTGTATGGCTGAGATACACTTCGCGTGTATGGCTGAGTTGAGTTCGCGTGTATGGCTGAGTTGATTTCGCGTGTACAGCCGAGTCAAATTCCGCGTGTATGGCTGAGTCAGCTTTCGCGTGTACGGCTGAGTCACTAACCTTAAACCTTTCATTCCATTGCAGGCGGAAAGCGTGGCAGGTTTTGTCGGTGCTCCGTCTGCGCCGTCTGTTGTGATTGTGTCTGTTCCGTCTTGCGCCGTCTTGCGCCGTCTTTTGCGCCATCTTGCCGTCTGCGCCGTCTTGCGAGATGGTGCGAGATGGTGCAGATGGTGAGCGCAGCGAAACACCCGCGCTATACGACCGCAATGTTTCATTCCAACCAGCCAGAAACATTCCCTCTCTCTGCTGGTGTCTCCCGCCCGTACCTCCCGCCAGCGCCAAACAAGGCGACCGAGACTGTTATTTTCTTTTTCGGCAATATGTTCGCACCAGCGGCAGAGGAAGCAGCAGCAGCAGGAGGCAGCAGCAGCAGCAGCAGGAAGCAGCAGCAGCAGGAGGAAGTAGCAGCAAGCAGCAGGCAAGCAGCAAGCAGGCAAGCAGGCAAGCAGGCAAGCAGGCAAGCAGGCAAGCAGGCAAGCAGGCAAGCAGGCAAGCAGCAGCAGGCAAGCAGCAGGCAAGCAGCAGGCAAGCAGCAAGCAAGCAGCAAGCAAGTTGCAAGCAAGCAGCAAGCAAGCAGCAACCAGCGTTTGCCCCCTTGAAAGAATGATCAAATATAAGTTTTAAGAATCAACGCAATACAAAAAAATAAACTTTTCCAGGCGCACGGCCCCAAAACAATGAAATCGTTCAATTACTAAAAGTTGTGATGATGCCAAACTTGAACTTTTTCCAGGCGCGGCGCACGGCCTCCCGATACGACTTTTAGAAGCTGATACGACTTAACCCGAGCACTTGTATGTAGAGACATAGAGAGAGCGAGAGAGGGACACACAGAGATAGAGGGAAATAGATGTAAAGATATATAGGTAGGCAAATAAGGATGGACATATGTACTATGTATCTGTGCAAGTAAATACACACATATGTATATATTTTTATATGTAACATGTAGATATGCGATTTCGATATTAGGTATTGATATGTAGAGGTATGTACTGAGAAGAATGTATACCAAGCCCCAACAGGACGACCACCAGAATGCTCAAGCCATGCCCAGGAAAACCATGAAATGGCTAGGATCAAAACAAGTCATGCAGCATGTCAACACCACACCACACCCGTGTACATCCTTCACATAGTAAACAATGAATAGAACCAACCATGTGAAGACCTTCACCTACCCTATGAATTTTGATCCATTTTGGAGGTGTTCTGTTTTGAGGCCCAAACAATCTGGAACCTGATCGAGCAAAAGTTCCATCTCTCCATCCATTTCTACTGGTTTCTGAATACAACAAATCGAAATCCAGAAAACGATCTGCGAATCGAAATCAACGATCTGTTGACACATCCTTCACCACCCTGGTGCCCAGGGGCCCATCAAAAACTCCTCAATTTCAACGGCTCCGCCTTGCGAGACACGATTTGGTTGGCCAAAATTCCAGTACGGTGGCCCATGGTGGCCCATGGTGGCCCTTATGGCCAGCTGATTTCCTATGGGCGCAACCTGGTCTAACCACGGGAGCGGGGGGGCCACCCGTCCAAATATGTAAGTCAGTTGGGATCAGGAATTGCAGAAAGATCTTTGAAACATTTGGCAAGAAATCTCACCCGGCCGCCTGGAAACTAACCCGTTTGCTACTTGCTACATAAACAACGGTTGCTGCCTGGGTTGCTAAGTTTACAAGAGGTGAAACATTTGGGGAAACCACTTCACTTCTCTGGTGGTTGCCGGGAAGAGAGTGGTGATGGTCCACCTACGAATCCAGACTCCACACCAAAAATGGTCACCCAATGCATGCTAGCATATGGTAGCTTTTGAAGAATCACGATCAAGACACTTCAGATCCATGAAAGACCCTCAACTTGTGTTTATGATCTATATACGTGTGTACATACATATGTACATACATGCATATATATATATAGCATATATATATATATATATGCATGTATGTAAGTTATCCCCGGTGTAATTATCAGTAGATTATTATCATTAATTGCCAAATTATGTATGTTCCTATTGATGCTGTATTAAACTATTACGTTAAATATTATTAAATATATAATGATCCGCAAATGTTTGTTACATGCGGATGGCTCAAAACTTATTCTTACAATATTTAGGGGAATCAACATCCACCAGCTATGACTTAGGGCCTTAGGGTGTCAGGTGTCTCGTCTTCGGAGCACGGCGCCTGCATCCAAGTCCAAGAGTTTGAAGAAGGACCAAGCCTTAGCGGATCCCGACATCCCAATAAGCAGTGGTATACCAGTGGTAGTGCTATAAAGATTAATACCACAAATTTCAGGTTAGTGGTTTCATAATGATATCAACAACCATTAGTAATAGTAATCATAAAAAATGCAAAAAAAAACAATACCAATCATAATAAAGCACATGGCTAATCAGAAAACCAGAGCTAACCAGTGATAATTACCATATCTGGCAGTACAAAATATCATAGTACCAACCCTCAGGACAGAGCAATAGTATATAACAGTAATAACCACATATTATAAATATAAGTTAAGCATTTGCTTCCGGTGATGTAAGATGGTTATGAAAAATCAGCATTTTTTGCAAGAAGATCATCGAACTATATAAGTGGGCCCTGTTCCGTGGCTATGTAAAATTATCGGAGGGTAGTCACCAGGGGGTCGCAGGCTTTTCCTTCAACCAATTCTAGAAAATAAGAAGCACAAACTACCTGAGATATCACTAACATGTTGTGATCCAGCCAGCCAATAGGGAGGATCGATAGATCAGTTCATATAAGAACAAGATATGCGACTGTAACTTATATAATTTTCGTATACTTGAGTGTCTGATGCTTCTTGTGCGTTTTTAAATAGATGTTAGAACCGATACAGGCACCACAACAGGTTCCCTTTTTTCTATCCTAACGACCGGTTGTTATGATATCGGATGGATATGATGATTGCGTCCGCTTGACACCTTCCTCTCAATCAGTCACCCTTCAAGAGGTATCCACCAGCCACAGCCAGGCCCCAGCCACCGTGGCCACCGGTCGAGCAGCATCCCAAACATCCAGGTCCATTGACTCGAAGTAGGCCTTCACCGCCTGGTCCCCCACCTTCTCTTCAAACATCCTCAGACCCGAAGCCAGGACGTGGTTGGAGTTGTGTTGATCTGGTTGATGGTAAGGCATGATACAATATGATATATTATAAATCGTATACATTATACAAAAGAAACAATATAATATTGACTCATTTATAGGTACAGTATACATGTAGAGCATGTAGAATTGTTTAGATGATATGCCTGGTGAATTTCAGCCAAGAATTGAACCACTTCAACCCTTGCTGTTCAAAGAGTCGCTCATGAAAACAGCAGGAAGTCACCCGAATTCTCGACTCAGACGGCACGTGCAAAGAGTAGGCCCCCAAATGCTGCTGGAGGCACTTGTAAGTGATGAGCCCCCGTTCTTCCGCATCAATCTCAGAGAACCTCACATCAAATGACCGGAGTGCGGGCAATCTGTTTTCCTACCCGAGATGGAGTGTTGGGCGTGTGGTTTTTTATGTTATAATGCTTATAATTTATCCTCTAGTAACTTCACATAGCTTGGGAAAATGGCCCATGTAGTTCGATGATTCACCTATTTGTCCCATCAAAAATGTTGCTTCTTTCATAGCAAACTGCAACAAATTACCAAAGTACCCTCCGGCAAGCGGCAATGGAAAATGGCCGAAGTATAGATAATTTTATCAGTTTCAAAATGCTATAAACCCCATTGAATATTTACGAGATCCCCCAGCCACGTTTGACTACCGCAGGGTCTCCAACATCTACAGAAATTTGTTGTGGGCCCCATCCTTGTGCCACGGCTGTCCGTTCATTTGCAGAGTTTCATCATGTTTCATCACGTGACTATAAAGGTGACCATCACAACAGACCACAACCATTCTCACAAGACCTGTCGCAACATGTCACAACTATTCAACCAACACCATCCCCATTACCATTGAAACAAAAAACATCGAAATGATCGTTATGATCTTCATGATCGCCATGACGGCCATCATCATCGCCATCATCATCATCATCATCAACAACATCATCCGCATCGTCATCCTCAACGTCATTGTCATCGTCGTCATCACCATCATCACCATCATCATCATCATCGCCATCGTCATCGTCATCATTATCATCATCATCATCATCGCCATCGTCATCATCATCCTCGTGATCATGACCATCCTCATCTTCATCATCATCGCCATCGTCATGATCATCATCATCACCATCATCATCATCACCATCAAAATCACCATCATCGTTAACAAAAACATCATCGTCATCGTCAACATCATCGTCATCGTCATCGTCATCATCATCATCATCGTCGTCGTCGTCGGCATCATGACCTTAAAAAAATCGGGATCGCCATTGTCAACGCCACCGTCATCGTTGTCATCGCCATCATCGTCATCGTCATCGTCATCATCGTCAACGTCATTGTCATCGTCATCATCATCATCATCAACATCATCATCATTATATGATATCTTCTTCTTCACCATCGCCATCGTCATCGACATCTCCATCGCCATCGTCGTCATCATCATCATCATCGAATCATCATCGTCGTCACCGTCATCGTCGTCAACGTCATTGTCATCGTCATCATCTTCATCGTCAACATGATCATCACCATTATCATCGTCATCGTCATCATCATCATCATCATCATCACCATCGCCATCGTCATCGTCATCGTCATCATCATCATCATCATCATCATCCTCATCCTCATCATCATCATCATCATCATCATCATCCACCTGGATGCCAACTGGTAGTTAGTTTGCTGGCTGAGTTTTATGCCCGTGACATGCGGATCAATCACCCACGCCAAGGTTCAGAAATTTGATCTTCTCAATGTGCGCCTCCTGGCATGGTGGTCCACGGGACATGCTCACCTCTCTGGGGTGAGATTTAGCGACAGAGACATGACTGCATGAACATGTTCACGCAGAGTTGAAAAAAGTAGTGGCCGGAAGGTGTTGTTCTGCTCTTGCCAATTGCCAATGCCCTTGGGGTTCCATGTTGCATTCCTAACAAGTCCAACATCTGAATCATCCATCCGATGGACTTGTGAACCATTGGCAAGGAGAAGAACTGCAGGCCAGGCGGAAATGACAAACGATAGTCCAGCTCGGTGCATCATGCTACAAAGGGTGCAGGACGTTGCACACCCAAGACCATGACTTACGAAACTTGAGGATTAATTGACCACACCGCAGTGCGCTTAAGGTTCTTGGTAAATTCTAAAAAACTGCGATTCAGAAATTTGCCCAAAATCCTTTGGGCCCACAAAAAACGACATGGGGACATTGCCAGGCCTTGTTCGCAAGGATTGATTGCATCACCTTGGGATCTGACAACCAGCGGCGCAGTATTCACACCTTGCTATGGGGTTTAGGAACCTTCCTGGTGGACAAATATGGTTCCTGAGTCCTTATTGATTTGGGGTCTGGAACAGCGACAACATTGAACCTTATGAAACAGAGGCTGCCATATGCCAAAATGTTGCGGTGAACAAAGTGGATAATGTACCCGGCTCTTGTGGGTGTGACGCAAATGCTTGGGCCTATATTTTCAGTCCAACGATGTGCAATATATGATATTTCACTCGAACTGCTGTTTATTTGTTGAATGAGCAACCGGCCAATTAAAACCAATTAATGTTTTTTGACTTTGCTGCAGGGCTTTGCAAAAACGATGCCAGATACCTGCAACAACTACCTGGCACCATGTTCGATTGAAATCTGCCCCCAAAATTCCGAACATATTTTTGGAAGGGCCGGGTCGGGGGCCTCGGGGGCAGAGGTTTTGGGAGCAGCCACGTGATCAGTTCAACACCTCAAGCATCTTTGCGGTCAGCCGAGTCACCATTGCGTGGTCACTTTGCGCACTATCGATCGCGCTCTGACAAAACACCTCACCAAATGAACAAACGATTTGTTTGTTGAACTTTGATCTGAACTGCCCCCAAACCTTTCATGTTGTCGTCAGTTGGTGATGTAAAGATATTTGGACGAAAAAAAACCAGGCAACTGTCCGATAACTGTCCAAGTATGTTTTGGCAATGGGCGAACACTTTAAAACACATTGTGAATACATTTTTGTTGCTCCGATTTTCATTCCGCCTCTGAGTGCTACATTGCATCAACGGATGGCAGTTTGGCCAGCAGAGACAATAAAATTACAATCACCAAATTTTAGTGGCGACAAAGTGCCCCCCAACAACATTTTGCATAGGTCCAATAAATCTAACATTATTGAACTATATATTGTTTGATTCCAAAGATGATACAATTTTGGAATATTTTGGAATAAGATCGTAAAACGTCCCTGGGATAGTCTGTTAAACAACGAGGGATATCAGCAACAAATGTTTGATTCTCGGATTGGTTTTAACTCAGCTGAGCCACTCCAGTCACAACCTCATGTGGCATATTGCTGGCCACATGCGCGAACACATCGTGGTGGATTCATAGCCCGATGAACACTCGAATGAGCAATGGAAAAAGGTGCACCATATCATACCAAGATGATCAAGGGCACATTCGGTGTTGTTTAAAATGCGTGTTTTGATTGTGCGCACGTGAACAAGAATCATGTCCTTGGATATACCGAAGGTGTTGGTCGGAGTGCCATCAACACATGCCAACACTTGGACACCTCACATCGCACAGCTCACAATACACACACACCACACCAAATCGCCACATCAAACGTAACAACGTGGTGATTCTTTAAAATCAAAATCAAGAAACATGTTTGGTCATGATGCCCCCGCGTGATGCATCCAAGTCTCGTTTAGGACAGCAAAGTATGTAAACGAAACGTAGAACACCTTGACAGAAATTCACCGTGAGTCTGCGGAATATGCATGTGGGATCACGCAAACACATGTGAAAACACAAGCATCTCTGTGCTGTGCAAACCGTGGATCCACCACGTAACATCACAGTACAACACGTTGTTCGAAACCAAGGTATGCAGTGCACGATTTCGAGCCAAACGAGCCGAGGGGCAAAAACGACAACCCACGCTGGTGACAGCCGCCTAGGCCATTTTCGAAGAAGGTTTGTTGGGCAAAGGCTTCTCATGGCCACATGTGGTCTTGGCGGCCCGATGAATCCCAAATCTAAAACGTGTTTCCGGCATTTTCCGACCAACGCAACAGAAGATATTATATATATAGCAAAAAACAAGCTGCTCCCAAACGCGGATATCCTTTCAAGTCTTGTGTTTTTATCCAAATCAGTATGGCACACTGTCGCAAAGCGGGTCCTTGCAAAAGTCCTTGCAAAAGCCCTTGCAAGTTGTTTTCCCTCTTGGCACCTCTACAAAACCCGATCGAAAAAACAGTGCTTTTAATATGTTTTGTTGCTATTCCCAATGGCGCAGCGTCATATAGGCGTTTAACCCTTGTCTTGGTTCTTTGTTACTAAAAAACATGCGTTCCTTTGCAAATCCGCGTGGCACGGCGTCTTGAAGGATCTCACCATAAATGTTGCGAACACGTCTTTGGCAACAAAACTGCATGGCACACCATGACTATTCTTTGAATGTGTTACATAGATTTGGCCAAGGCGTGGATTGACGTGCCAAGTACCATACTGGGTTCAACAGAATCTTTTTTGCCGCATGAAGAGCGACAAAACTCATTTCAGCGGTTTGCGTGGCCCAATGGCCTTCAAGCTTGGCTTTTCATCTGTTCTTTCTTGGGTGTACCTTCCCACTCTTTGGGGTTCCCTAATGTAGGGAAAAAACGAAGGCAAAAACGAGGTCAAAACAAGGTCCCAACCAGCAACGAAATCTACATATGCAGGACCTGTCCTTCATCAGGTCTCCCAACTGTGTCGAATGAAACCTAAACAAGAACCTAGATGTGTGAAATTTCTTTCCAGTCATCTATCTATGAAAAGAATTCGCCTGAAGCCTATGCATACTACTGAAATCAATTTTGTAGCGCTCCGTGCAGGGAAACAGTTTCTGCCCAGCTCTCGGCACTTCTGCTTTGGCGAAAGATGGAAAGAAGATGGCAACTACCATACTGGGCTGGATCCCAAGGTTCCGCACATATATGGCATGCCAAGAATGCCATACATCAAGTATGCCGATGCGAAAAGGATATATATATATATATATAACAACAATACTGAAAATCCACCGATGTTGACGCAGCAATGTCTACATTTTATAGCCTTCTCCCGATAAGCACATCCAATTTAGAAACCCAAAATGTCAACTAGCTTTTGGTCACAGAGATTTACCTGAACATTCCAAAGGTGCATTCCTGCACCTGCACACTGTTTTGCAACTACCCACCCGAAACCTTTTCCCCAAGGGTATGACTGCATTCAATCAAAAACGCAACGACTTAACTAGGCACTTAAAAATACAATGGCACTTTGACCCTCCAAAACCTGTCAGAAAGGGAGCTCCATAACTGATAGGAGATAAGAAGGAAATAAAAGGAAAAGAACAGGAAAGAAACTGAAAATGACAAGACAATAGAATCAATAGAAGGAAAGCGAACTGAAAGGAATATGAAAAAACATGAAAGGTCGTGAAAGCAACTGACAGGAAATCAAAGGCACCGAAAAGGAATATGAAAGGAACATACTACCAGCAGGGAACATGACAGGAATCCGTGCCCCCAGACCTCAATTTGGCACAGCGAGAGACTGACCGCCGAAAGCGACATGAAAGGAAATGGAAGGGAAAACAAAGCAAAGGAACGGAAAATAAGAACAATTAATTTAAACAACTAATATAGTAGGGACTGAGGAGGCAATTAAAGGACATAGAGGCACATGCAAGGTGATGACACGAAATGATAGCATTGTTTTTGCCTTCGCTCACTCATTTTGGACTGGCGTCCTTCTGGAAGAAGGGACCAGCCGGCTTCCACTTCACATGCCGCGCTAGGCGGGGTGTCGGTGAGGGATCCAGCGACCCCAGATGTCGCGGATTGCGATCACAATTCCGCGTGATCCCCAAGCAGAGAAGCTGGAGTGGCAAGCGGCAAGCCCATCTCCCACCAAAGCCACAAACCTGTCTGTCTGGGCCTTAGAGACAGAGGAACTGCCATGGTGACCAAAACATACCGAACATCCCGAACATCAGGAATCAGACTTCACAGGCGGCGTGCTGCACCTGAAGCGCATCAATGCTTCTGAACAACGGGTGGGGGATCAAAAACGACATTTTTAAGACATTTAAAGCATCAAAAGAATAAATATTAACATCGGATCAATAAGGATGTATTACAGTAAAAGGATCACAATACGTATTCTCTAGTTTTAAAAAGTTGAAAATGCATAATTCTCTGGTTCGCTACTACCACGGCCCACGGGCACTAAAACAGCCATTCCAACTGCCACTGCTGCTCCTGCTCCCCTTCTGCCCCTGGTGCTCTTGCTACTACTAGTGCTACTGCTACTACTGTGTCGGTGTTGCTATGGGATGCTTTTGGTGGGTACCTGGAGGGGGGCGCATTGAAAACAATGCTTGCATGGAAGGCGCTGCATAATACAGAAGATACTGTCTTGCAGCTTTCATGGCGCGGGAGAGGGTTGGGAGGGAGGGCACAGCACCTTCCTTCCCCAGAAGGTGCAAGAAGCTACTGCTTACGACGTTGCCACTATAGTAGAATTACAATGCTGTGTCTTGTTGTCGCCATTGTGGTTGTCGCGGTCTTGTTTCTCTTGGTTTTGTTTTGGTTTTGATTTTTTTTTGGGTTGTTGTTGTTGTTGTTGCTGTTTGCTGCTGTTGCTTTAGTAAGGGTTAACTGAGGGTTTCTTTAGGGTTTATGGTTTCTTTAGGGTTTCATGTGCGATTTCTTCAGGGCCTCTGTAATGTTTCTTTTGGGTTATTTCGGGGTTTATTTAGAGTTTGTTACAGTAAAGGTTTCTTTAGGGTTTTGGGTTTCTTTAGGATGTCTTTACTTTCTACTTACGTTCTTTTTATGGTCTCTTGAACGTCGAATCAGGCTTTCCCTATTCTATTGAAAGCAAACCCCAAAGCCGTGACACGCGCTGATCTCTTGCACTAGTGCATGTGGCGGCTCTGCCAAGCAGGACAGCCACAAACCAGGGGTCTAAAACACAGGACCAGGGGTCATGAAAGCAGGTGCAGGGGTCAAAAAAACAGGATACGGGGGTCAAAAAAACACTTGCATGGGTTTAACTTAAACAAGAGTACGGGTTCAAAAACAAACAGGTAAAAAAATAAGGCGCAGGGGTTTCAAAAACACCCCGGTGTCCACAAACACGGTCAAGACGTCGTTGATGACCTGTGTAATTTTGGCGTACGTTCAAACGTTTTCCAACATGAAGATGCACCACAAGCACACACAGATCGATACTGAATCTTTTTGTCATGTCCTGGAAGCCAAGCCCCTAAGGCTTTCCAAAGACAGCCTTCGGTGTTTTTGCGCCATTGGAACGCAAAGACATAATCCCACATTCTTTGGTTCCAAGATCTGTTTGACACATCTTTGCCCCCTATCTGCCTGGGAATGAACTGTTTTAAGCCACCCCAAAATTCAGTTCCAACAGCAAGTTAAGAGCGTACAGTAGCACCAAGAGCGTGTTTGAAGTTCCAAGAACAAGTTAAGAGCGTAGCATCAAGATCGTGCTGGAAGTTCCAAAAGCAAGTTAAGAGCGTAGCATCAAGAGCGCGTTGGAAGTTTCAAGAAGAAGTTAAGAGCGTAACATTAGACCTCGCTGGAAGTTCCAGTAGCAAGTTAAGAGCGTAGCATCGCGAGGTTGGAAGTTCCAAGAGCAAGTTAAGAGCGTAGCATAAAGATCGTGTTGGAAGGCCCAAGAGCAAGTTAAGAGCGGGTTGGAAGACGCATATATCATACAGATGATCGTTGGCGAATGAACGTTATTAGCCCACCCCACCCCACTCCACTCCACCCCACCCCATGCCATACATTGCCATACATGCACACCGAAACATAATTTGCGGGACAGTAATAGCTTGGTCAGGACCAACATACTGTGTCCAGAATTATCGCAAAAACGGATGTTTCGTCCAGGTCGTTATCAGCGTCACCAGCAAAAACCAGATCATGGGTCAAAAAAACAATGGGCCCATATCTAATATCACCAGGTTGGATGCAATATGTGCAAATCAAGGTCTTAATCTCACAAGAGCTATGTGGCTATGTGTATGAAAAGTGGATAGAATTCCGAGTCAAATAGAGATTGTCTCCCAGGTGTGACGAAAGCTGCAGCACTCCATTGCCCATTGCGGATCAAGAACATAGAACATCTTATTTCTTGAGTTGATGAAAGCATTGAAGTAAATAAGTTGAAATGGTTATGCATATGCGTATGCATACATAAATATATATGTATATAGATATACTTAAATATTACAAATACATATGTGCTGTGTATATATATATAATATGTGTGTAGTGAGCACAAACACCGTTTTTCCTTGATACAGTAAAAGCAGCGACAAACAGCATCATCCATTGGCATTTATATTACAGTAACCCTCAAAAAGATTCAAAAGTAAAATCCCACTAAAACAGTGAGGAACTAATTACTTTCCTACTTACTGGTGGTTGCTACAATATCATATAGCAGAAAGTGATTTTGGCATTCTCCTCCATCACCAAGCGTCCATAAGGGGTAGATGACATTCTCCCAGCTGACACCTCCCGAGATACCTGAGCAGCTTGGGCATAGGGTGTACCCAAATCGGCTGGTTTAAGACTTCACTGGGCCACAAATTGGGCAGTGACAAAGCCGGACTGGATAGGAAGATCATATTCATAAATTCACACTGGTTGGTGGTTTCAATCCCTCTGAAAAATATTAGTCAGTTGGGATGACTATTCCCAGTATATGGAAAGTCATAATCCATTCATGTTCCAAACCACCAACCAGCATAGATATTCTTGGATCCTCCATATTCCTGGACCAACAAACTGCCCGGAATCCAATGGCAGCTTGGACGCACATGAAGAGGCTCAGCATGGCCTCCAGCAGAGAATTGAAGTAGCGATCTGCCTAAGCGAGATGGGTCTAGACATTGCGGCATTTGATCCCCCAAATTGATGATCAATTTAGGAGGGAATCGATGATTAACCGTGATTATATGATCATACAATTCTGACAATTCCAAGTTGCCTTGCGATGAAGCTGCAAAAGTTGCTGATTTCATGGCCGAAAATGGCAATGTAAGTGTTCAATGATGCGTCAATGTTATCAGCAGAAGAAGCCGCATCTAGCGGCTCACTGCACTCAAGAGCATCAGTTCTTTTCGATTCAGATCGGTCCAAGCATGTGACATGGATCTTCTGTTCCTGCACCAGTTGATAGGTGGTAATGATAGGTGGTAAACATCCCATCATTTATAGGGTTTCAACCATCCTTTTGGTGATGCAGGATTCCGCAACCATCCACAGTAAATGTTGAAGTTTTGAAATGTCTAAATCCGAAACATCATCGGCATATCATAAGGCCTTTATTGTTGGTGCACCCCCGACACCCAGCCTCAGGGCTCTGTTGGGCATCAGCGTCCAGCCTGCTATCTCCAACGGCCTGCAAAGGAGCTATAGTCATGGGGGTACCCCAATAGCTGGATGGCTTATTTCATGGAAAATCCCAAAAATAAAATTGATGAGAACTGGGGGTACCCCTATTTTAACTATCTTAGGACACCTCCATGTATATGTGTGTGTGCGCGATATACAAATGCAAAAATGTTGCTCAAGATTTTCTAAGTGTATCTAGACATATGAAAGATCACTGCACAGATCTATACAATGTAAGAGTATACTATTACTATGTGTCTGCAAAGTGATCTATATACGTATTTATATGTATGTCAGCAACCAAACTGGGAAGCACAAATGATAGTAAAGCAATGCATTTAGAGCTTTTGAGCCATGAAATAGGATAAAAGATTATAAAGGATCTATACCATCCATCATGTGGGTTCCAAATAAGTATCTCTAACCAACCAACTTCTGGATTCAAAAATCCCCAAGGAAAACGGAACCAATAATAGCGAGTACTAATTACCTATTGTGCCACTTCCCATTTGGAAATGACGGCTTTCTCGAGCTTGAGCCCAGCCAGGATAGCCAGGCCTGTGTGAAGATAATCGCAAAGAAGTAGATGATCAAAGCTAAAAGGACCAGGGCCCAAATCAATGACTTCCTCAGCCGCGGGACCGCAGGAAGTGGCGGAAGTGGCGGAAAAAGAAGGCCGGTGACCGGGTCAGGTAATCATGATGGGATGAGTTTTCAGGGACATCAAGAACCCAAAAACTTTGCGGATAACCTGTGGCTTTTCGATGACCCACCCACATTCCCAGACGATGACCTCCCAAGGTCCCAAACTTCGGGAAAAACTGAAAAACCACATCCGAATGGTAGCCCCTACCCCCTACCAGCCTGAAACCATCAAGGATGTCAAGGTGAAATCGCCGTGCTCTCCATTCGGAAAAAGCGGGGCCTTTTTAAGCGCTGAGCATCAAGGTATAGATGATCGATTGGATCAACGTGCGAAGGGCCATCACGAAACGCAGGATCCGCCCCAGTTTGGCCACACGGACCTGATAGAGCCCGGGCAGGGGCTGGGAGCCTCAGACTCTACATATAGGCACACATCCGTCAGATCATATTCATGGTGCCTCCCTTCAAGAAAGAACTACCATGAATTACCATCGCATTCATATGATATCTGCATATGAACATATGTGCACACTGCACACATGTGGCTGCACAACATTCAAACATGTACGATTATATATCTATGCATCCTAACGTATAACTCGATGCTCTTATTTTGTATATATATATATGTGTGTGTGTACATATATGTGTATATATGTAAGTATATATATATATACAATTATATGAGCAATCTCGAAAACTCTAGGTTCACGGAAAGGGCATCCACAAATTTGGGAAGGTCCCATCGCTTACCACACGTTTGTACAATAATGATATCTGGTAAACTTGGGGGGTATCGCTTGCAGGAAACTGCTACATTTTTTGTATATAATTCACAGAAATCAACGTCCAATTTGGGTATCGCTAATGTGGATATTAGAGAAATACAATGACATAACCTTGAAAAGGGGTATCGCTAATTTGGGAAGGTCCCATCGCTTACCGTGGGGTTTTATTAATTTCCATCAATTTCCATAAACCAATGTCCGTCCAATACATATTTAGTATTGCCGGGGTTTTTGCTATGTGTGTGTGTGTACTTGGGTGGGTTGATAAAATTGTGTGAATTCCACATAACTGCATGTTTGTGCATATAACATGGCGGATGATCACGCTTCTCTACTCGCAATCCCCTGGGGTGACCTGCCATTTGGGGATGGTTTTAATCCCACCTAATCCCTTCTTCCTGTTACTAAAACTCACCCAAATAAAAAACAGGATTGGTATGGCACTTCCGTTTTTTTTCAGAAATGGGACGTTGTGGAGGGCTGGTTTTTACGGTGTTTTGTAAAAGTCACTAAAAAGCATCTTTGGTCACTATAATCATCAAATGTTCATTGTTTTAATTATTTTTGTGATATCTTGAACTATTTGACTTAGGTCACGAAGATGAACCCAAAAAAAAGTTTCTTTCTAGAATTTATTGTGCTAATAAATGCTAATATACAAACTTAGAATATCAAGATCAATTATACTTACATTTTCCAATTAATGAATCTTAATTTTCAGAAGAGGAATGGACAGGTATGGGTCAAATTTTGGATTTATATATTGCTACTAAGCTTTCTGTATAGATTTTTGTTTTCCTTTCTCTCTTCCTGCTCCTCTAGACCTCTGGAAACCCTAAAGCTCTGGTTTTTTACCTTCTAGACCTCTCTGACGCGGGGTCCCCCCCCAAAAAAAACGGAACGAAAAAAACATTTTTTTGGTGACACCCCCCCCCTCAGACCCTAGGAAACCAGCTTTGACATACTAAAGTCGCCGGATCCTACTACGGTACCGGCCGGACGGATCCGATCTAGTCCGTTGGATCTGCCCGGTCGGCTCCGTAGTGTCAATCCGGCGGCTGTCCGGGCCTTTTAAATGATTCGGTTTGTTTGGTCCGTGTTAATTTTAATGTCCAAAGGCTTTCATGAAAGTACATGTTGCCAAGACTGCTTCATAAATATAATAATTATGCCAATGGACAGGCCCTTGGGTGACACACAGCAAGAAAGTATATGATCAAGAGTGATGTGAAGATAACGTCATCTTTGTATGTCAAAAATGGCTATACTCAGCATGCCAATACAAGAATATTTTTTGTGTGCAAATAATCTTGAAAATAGCTTCAATGTATATCATATATTTCTCCAGCATTGGTATGACCAACGTACCCTCATTCGAAATGCAGACAATTTAGTCAAACTCTGAACATTGATAATATTTGATAATGAATATCATGAAAGATACATAGAAATAATTAATGCTACCAAGTTTCCTTTTCTATGTATCATTTTTGTGGCAATATATGGCAAGTTGCAATAATCATGTTCTTTGATGATTGGCAGTCATCAATCAGAACTATAACTTCCAAGTATCATATTAGTTTAGCCAAGCCAAATTGTGCCCAAAAATGCGTCACATTCTATCGTTTTCCAATAACAATGCAATATTAGCATGCACTTTGATTTTTTGCCCTAGCCTCATCTAACTTAGTATTGTACGTCTGCTCCTTGCCATAACCGTACATATCATTCGCAATATTAAGATCTTAACTTAATTGCATTAGCCAAAGATTACCTCCATAGGTGTTGCTATGGACAGTATCTTTCAAAATTACGTCCATTTATCTAGCAACCATTTTGCCAGCCTACAAACTAAGAAGGACCACTGCATACCTCAACATTATGCAAGGGTATTCTCTATCATGGGCATGCTTGATTAGATTTGAACACAGTGATTGTGTGCAATGTCTCTGTGGGCTGCCAGATTGCACTGATTTTATTGGATATTCCAAGCTCCCTTTTTGATTTGCATTCCTAGTTTGCTAGGGAAGCCTGCACAAGGAAGTGGCAAAAGCCTTTGTTTTTCCTTTTTGGTGCCAAGTTCTTGGAATGTTTATGCTATGGATCAGGTTGAAACCCGTATATTTCAATGTCTTTCATATCAACCTAGACTAGCATTTTACGATTAATTATACATATATACATTCGATTATGTAATTATATATATGGTTGGGTTGGGTACAAGCATCCTTTAGCATGACATGAACAGTAAATGAAAGGATTTAGAGTCTCAATATTGGAGAAGAATGAAGTGCTGCATGCATTGCCATCATTGATTGTAAGGCTTGACTCTAACCTACCCTCACTTTCCAGGTTGGATTCTTTGTTTTTGTTTTGGGGGTCCTTCTAATTCCACGCAGAGTTGTTTCCATTGAAGAGTTTGGGTTTGGCACGCGTATTTTTCAGAAGATTTTTCCAACATAAGTTTAACTTTTCCTTTGCTGATGCAATTGCCAGCAAGATATTGGACATGGTTTAATTTAGTTTACCTTGTGAGATGTATCCAGCTCAATCACTTAGAATACCCAGCTCTTTTCACAACACACCTATATAGTTTACGCTGATATGTCAAGGAAAACATGCTTTGGAAGAGAGAGGTATGTTTTACTTCAAGGCATTCATTCTCAACATATTCTACATAAAACTAGACGACGGTTGGCCCGAGAGCGAAAAACACGTCCTTCAAGCAGCTCTGAGTATGGTAGTCGTAAAAAATCGTCGGTGAATGGTTGGTGAATTTGATATGAGCTATGGAGGGGGAAGTTGTGAAATTACACACAGACGCTTTTACACACAAACACTTTCACATACGCGTTTACACACAGAGACTTTTACACACAGACGCTTTTACACACAGACACTTTTACACGCAGACGCTCTTACACAGAAGCTTTTACACACAGACTCCTTTACACACAGACGCTTTCACAGACGCGTTTACACACAGAGACTTTTACACACAGACGCTTTTACACACAGACACTTTTACACGCAGACGCTTTTACACACAGAAGCTTTTACACGCAGATGCTTTTACACACAGAAGCTTTTACACACAGACACTTTTACACACAAACGCTTTTACACACAGACCCTTTTACACACAGACCCTTTTACACACAGACGCTTTTACACACAGAGGCTTTTACACGCAGATGCTTTTACACACACACACACACTTTCATACACAGAGGCTTTTACACACAGAAGCTTTTGAAGAGTGTCTCTATATGACATTTTATAGTCCTGAACTCAAACTGTTCTGTTTTTGACATCAAGCACATGATGGCATCGAGCTCTGTTGCAAACGTTTGCAGACATTTCACTAGTGAAGTATTGTCACATGTGTCATTTACAGCATCATGGTACCGATCTTTTTTGGGCCAATTATGTGGGATTTTCCATAATAAAATGAAATAACATGTGTCATACGCAGCATCATGGTACCGAGCTTTTTTGGGCCATTTATGTGGGATTTTCCATACTAAAATGAAATGACATGTGTCATACACGGCATCATGGTACCGAGCTTTTTTGATAGTTTCTGTGGGATATTCCCAGAATAAAATGAGATAACGCGTGTCATTTACTGCATTATGGTATTGGACCTTTTTTTGTGCAAACATTTGCAGACATTTCACTAGTGAAGTCTTGTCACATGTGTGATTTACAGCATCATGGTACCGATCTTTTTGGGCCATTTATGTGGGATTTTCCATAATAAAATGAAATAACATGTGTCATGCACGGCATCATGGTACCGAGCTTTTTTGGGCCATTTATGTGGAATTTTCCATAATAAAATGAAATAACCTGTGTCATACACAGAGGCTTTTACACACAAACGCTTTTACACGCAGATGCTTTTACACACACACACTTTCACACACAAACCCTTTTACACACAGACGCTTTTACACACAGAGGCTTTTACACACAGACGCTTTTACACACAGACACTTTTACACACAGACACTTTTACCCACAGAAGCTTTTACACACAAACACACACACACACACGATTTTATTTTACACACACGTCAGTTTCACACACAGAGGCTTTTACACACAGACGCTTACACAGAGACTTTTACACACAGAAGCTTTTACACCCACACACACACACATACACACACACGCTTTTCTTGTACACACACACTTTCACACACAGAGGCTTTTACACACAGACGCTTTTACACACAGACACTTTTACACACAGACGCTCTTACACAGAAGCTTTTACACACAGACTCCTTTACACACAGACGCTTTTACACACAAACGCTTTTACACAAAGACGCTTTTACACACAGACGCTTTTACACACAGACGCTCTTACACACAAACACTTTCACACACAGAGGCTTTTACACAAAGACGCTTTTACACACAGAAGCTTTTACACACAGACTCCTTTACACACAGACGCTTTTACACACAGACGCTTTTACCCACAGACGCTTTTACACACAGACGATTTTACACACAGACGCTTTTAATCACAGACGCTTTTACACACAGACGCTTTTACACACAGACGCTTTTACACACAGACACTTTTACACAAAGAAGCTGTTACACACAGAAGCTTTTACACACAGACGCTCTTACACAGAAGCTTTTACACACAGACTCCTTTACACACAGACGCTTTTACACACAGAAGCACAGAAGCTTTTACTCACAGACGCTTTTACACACAGACCCTTTTACACAAAGCACTTTTACACACAGACGCTTTTACACACAGACGATTTTACACACAGACGCTTTTACACACAGACGCTTTTACACACAGACCCTTTTACACACAGACAATTTTACACACAGACGCTTTTACACACAGACGCTTTTTGCACACAGACGCTTTTACACACACACACACTTACACACACACACACTTTCACACACAGAGGCTACTACACAGAGGCTTTTACACACAGACGCTTTTACACACAGACGCTTTTGCACACAAACACTTTTACACAGACACTTTTACACAAACGCTTTTACACACAGACGCTTTTACACACAGACCCTTCTACACACAGACACTTTTACACACAGACACTTTTACACAAAGAAGCTGTTACACACAGAAGCTTTTACACACAGACGCTCTTACACAGAAGCTTTTACACACAGACTCCTTTACACACAGACGCTTTTACACACAGAAGCTTTTACACACAAACGCTCTTACACACAGAAGCTTTTACATAGAGACTTTTACACACAGACACTTTTACCAACAGAAGCTTTTACACACACACGCACACACACACACACACGCTTTTCTTTTACACACACACACACAGAGGCTTTTACACACAAACACTTTCACACACAGAAGCTTTTACACACAGAAGCCTTTACAAAGAGACTCCTTTACACACAAACGCTTTTACACACAGACACTTTTACACACAGACACTTTTACACACAGACTCCTTTACACAGAGGGCTTTTACACACGGAAACTTTTACACACAGACACTTTTACACACAGAAGCTTTTACACACAGACGGTTTTACACACAGACGCTTCTACACGCAGATGCGTTTTACACACGCACACACGCTTTCACACACAAACGCTTTTACACACAGACGCGTTGACACACAAACGCTTTTACACACAGACGCTTTTACACACAGACACTTGTACAGAAACGAAAGCGTCCATCGCAATTTTTCCTCAGTTTTTGACGTCCAACGTCCATTTCGTGCGAAAGGGTTACGATTGACCAAGTAAAATCGCAATTTTTCCTCAGTTTTTGACGTCCAACGTCCATTTCGTGCGAAAGGGTTGCGATTGACAACTCAAAGTCGCAATTTTTCTTCAGTCAGTTTTTCGACGTCACAACGTTTTTGACGTCCAACGTCCATTTCGTGCGTAAGGGTTGCGATTGACACCTCAAAGTCGCAATTTTTCCTCAGTTTTTGACGTCCAACGTCCATTTCGTGCGAAAGGGTTGCGCGCGACCAATGAAAGTTGCAATTTTTCCTCAGTTTTCGACGTCCAACGTCCATTTCGTGCGAAAGGGTTGCGCGCGACCAATAAAAGTTGCAGTTTTTGACGTCCAACGTCCATTTCGTGCGAAAGGGTTGCGCGCGACATAAAATCGCAATTTTTCCTCAGTTTTTGACGTCCAACGTCCATTTCGTGCGAAAGGGTTGCGCGGACCAAAAAGTCGCAATTTTTCCTCAGTTTTTGACGTCCAACGTCCATTTCGTGCGAAAGGGTTGCGCGCGACACCTCAAAGTCGCAATTTTTCCTCAGTTTTTGACGTCCAACGTCCATTTCGTGCGAAAGGGTTGCGCGGGACGCTTCAAAATCGCAATTTTTACCTAGGTTTTGGACGTCCAACGTCCATTTCGTGCGAAAGGGTTGCGTTTCGTGGCGCTCCGGCGGCACCGCCCCCGCCTTAAGAGAGAATAGAAGAAGAGCGAGAGGAGATCTGCAGATGTGAAGGTGTGAAGATCTAGATCTGCAGGTGTGAGGGTGTGAAGATCTAGATCTGCAGGTGTGAGGGTGTGATGATGTAGATCTGCAGATGTGAGGGTGTGAAGATCTAGATCAGGTGTCAGGGTGTGAAGATCTAGATCTGCAGGTGTGAAGGGTGTGAAGATGTAGATCTGCAGATGTGAGGGTGTGAAGATCTAGATCTGCAGATGTGAGGGTGTGAAGATCTAGATCTGCAGGTGTCAGGATGTGAAGATCTAGATCTGCAGGTGTGAGGGTGTGAGGGATCTGCAGATGTGAAAGATCTGCAGATGTGAGGGTGTGAAGATCTAGATCTGCAGGTGTGATGTGAGGGTGTGAAGATCTAGATCTGCAGATGTGAGGGTGTGAAGATCTAGATCTGCAGGTGTGAAGGTGTGAAGATCTAGATCTGCAGGTGTGAAGGTCTGAAGATCTAGATCTGCAGGTGTGAAGGTGTGAAGATGTAGATCTGCAGATGTGAAGGTGTGAAGATGTAGATCTGCAGGTGTGAAGGTGTGAAGATCTAGATCTGCAGGTGTGAAGGTGTGAAGATCTAGATCTGCAGGTGTGAGGGTGTGAAGATCTAGATCTGCAGGTGTGAAGGTGTGAAGATCTAGATCTGCAGATGTGAGGGTGTGAAGATCTAGTATAACGGCTGCTTTTTTACGAAGAACCCTTCGCAGGCGCTCTCGGGAAAAAAGTTTGCAACAGGTTTGTTCATACGATTCAAAAACTTGAGACAGTATAAGATTAAGGGATGTACCTTTTTTTCCATCTTAACTATCCAGAAAAAAACAATCAGCCCTCCACAGCGTCCCACTCTCTTTTTTTTGGTTGGGCACAATTGGATTCTTAATTGTGGTAATTGAGAATCAATAGGAAATAGGAGAACAGGATGGTGAAACAATGGGTTCAACCCCCTATTAATAAAAATAGATAAAAATAGATTGCCACCTGGAGGTTTTTTACTAGGGTCTCATTTCAAAAGTTTTATTTTTCATGTTTATTATTAAGGTGTTCATTGGAATATTAGGGGAAAGCTTCGAAATCCAGTTGTTGGCAATATTTTATATAGATTTTAATAAGGGATTTTATCAAATTTGAAATCGTTTTTTTTATTTTATTTTTATTAATTATTAGTTTTTTCATTGGAATATTGGGGGCACCCTAATACAAAATACCCCCTAATAATAAAAATAGATCACCGTGTTTACCATTTGGAGGGGGCGTTTTAGTAATAGGGAGAGAGGATTATAAACATGGTGACGACTTGAGGATGGTGTATGGCATTGAGTTTACCGCAATGAAGATGAAGGAAGGGTGTTACCCTCTGGTAATTTAACATAATTAGCTATGGAAAATCACCATTTTTAATGGGAAAACTCACTATAAATTGCCATTTTCAATAGCTATGTTAGTTTACCAGAGGGTATATCATGTTATATCCCCAACTCATCCAATGGAATTTTGGGCTTCCGAGGTACCAGCCGCGTGATGCGCACAATGCGTACCGTGCGCAGACCCGAGAAGCCCGTCATTCTCTGGCCACCGTCTTCGCTCATGGCAGACCTTGGGAGGTGTTTTTTTGTCCCAAAAGGCGCCTTCCAGGAAGACTGGTGGTCTAACATGGTTTAACTAGCAAAAAAAGTGGCTCAAAAGCGCAATAAACCATCGGATTTCGCCAGCAAAATTGAGGTTTAAGCAAGATTGAGAAAATCGTGGATAGTCCGATTCGGATAGAGGTGGAATCCCAAAGAAACATATTATACTTTGGTTGCAACATGACCAAGAACCTGTTAAAATGGATGCAGCTTTTCTGGTACCTGAATTGGCGGTACCCAACCTATAGGATCTAAGCAAGGCCTACTACGAATACGATTTCGGGCCAGAGTTTGGTGTTTTGTTGGGGGAAACGTTCGGGGAAATGTTGGGGGAAACGTTGGGGAAACATTGGTCAATATACCATGTGTGTTTATCACATGCACTGTAGGTTTTGCCATGTACCGGCATAGCGATAGCATATGATCATGTAGACTGATGGCAATGGCAATGACAATGATCATCGTGTTTGGCTGATGACATATGGTGGTTATGGTGGTTTCTTAGACTTGGGCTCCGCATAACTTGGAAAACCACCATCATTCGGGAGTCCATTCATGACCATCCCATCTGCAGGGAACCTCCCATATTCTGGTTGATTACAATACCACCTTTTCAGGTGGTTTAGTATATCCCCTTAATTCGTAGTATATCCCCGAATCATGTTGGTTTTTTATCCCCGAATCATGATCAACTGTGGATTCTTACATCCCAATTGATGCTTAAAATCTGAAAACCATATGTCATATGTTCATATATGTTCAAGCTTCAATCCATTCTTGGTGGTCCCCACCAAATATGGTTTCAATGATGGTGTTGGACCTGCTTGGAGATGGTTAAAACGCTTAAACCTTTGGATCCATGGAAAACATCCAGCGTCTTGTCCTCAAAGAGGCATAATTTCCAAGGCAGCTTCCCATAAGGAGCAGAGCCTTGCTGCGCTGGGAGAATCATGGGATTTTTGCTGGGCGAATCTCTGGTGATGGAAAATCACCATAGAAATCATATGAAATAATTGGTAAATCCTGGAGTTAACTGGGCCATGGCTTCCATAGCTATGTTAAATTACCAAAGAGCACTGAGGACGTTATAATGGTTTAGGCTTGTTTACTTTCCAGTTTTTATTTAGGTATTGAACATATTCACCCAAGGTGTTTCAGATTTTCTCAAACGATCCGAACAGCTGCGAATCCAGACATCGCACCGTGTGACATCTCCAAAAAAAGTTATGCGACTTTGTTCACACAAATATATCAAATATATATATATATATATTGTGCGTGTGTCTATACATGCATAACTCATAACCAGACAAATATACAATTATATATATATATATATCATATTTGTACAGTATGTTCCCCCGTCGATCTCCAAGAATGTTCAGGACCTGCGTTAGGGGGAGAAGCTGCTATGCTTTTAATCCTCACCAAGTGGCACCAGCAACATGTCCACCATGTTCCTTGGAAGCCCCGAGCCACGGCGTCATCGCCCATTGGGGAAGGATTTTCATCAGTGATCAGGCTGGTGACCACTGGTGACCCACAATAATATATAAGTTTAACATAGTTTAACATGATATGTTGTCATTAAAATACCACCTAGTCAAGTAATCTCTCTCTCTCTCTGTCTCTCCGAGTCTGCCAGTGGCAGTGTAGAAATGTAGTAATATGTAATAACTATTTTGGGTGGCTGTTCATTTTATCATGACTATTCTATGGAGAGCAGCAGGTTATCAGAGTGCGTTGTTCATCATTTTTTCATGATACTTGTATACATGTATGTATGTATGCAGAGAAATCATGGCCTAGAGGATTTACAACATATAAAGAAATAAAGTAACATGTGTGTTTATGTGACTATGATAGTTTGAGGCGTCTTAGCTTCTAGCTAGTTCCATGTGCTTCTAGCAGCGATAGAAGAGGAAAGCTTGGACAAAAAGGTGGGTAGCCTTCAATTCCTGAAACAAGAAGATATTTGTATTTGCTGTCCTAAGAAATCTTAGATGCAGTGGTCACACCTGATGAGGCAGCAGCTTGCACATCAGGCAACAATAAACTATGTACAAGGACCTGAAAGCAAACCCATTACTGTAAAACAGCTGGGAAAAAATCAGTTGGGAGAAATATACGGTACTGTAATACAGAAGTTTGTGCTATGAAATATGGTATTGAGCGAATGAATATCAGAGATAATTGGAATTCAATTTTGACCGATTGCGCCATACTCAAATGATGCCGTTTTGTGTTTGCCCGGAAAATTCATGTTTTCCCCGACCACTGCATCTTCTTGACTGGCATCCCTGCATCATAAAGAGATATGGTATGTTTGCAAGGATTAGCATACTTTTCTCTTGAAAAATGGTGTGTCTTCTAAGCATAGTATCAACTCAGTTGTTGAGGACAATAGCATGCTTTTCATGGAAAATACTTGTTCAACGAGGGGACTGCATTGTTTAAGACATGTTGCATCTTCGACAAAGATGCTGTCTCTTCAAAATAAGCTTGGGCTTCTGTACAGAAATGTTCCATTTTTTTCTAAGCAATCCTTCATTCATACATCAAATGAAGAATGCGGTGGTTGAGTCCTATACTGAACTTAATATATACTTAAATTAAACATATTCAATCAGTCGAAAAAGAACAAAATAAAGGGCAGTAGATTTTTGACGGCTAGCTATACTGTATACTCTTTTAATTAAGGCTATTGTGCCCTTTAAATGTACAGTTTGCTGACGAGAAGGTTGCACGTTCTGAAAGGAATATATACAGTATGACAATATCATCAAGAGGAAACCAATAGCAAAAAAAACAAAAGCATGTTGCTTTCAAAGAGGAATGGATTCAGTGGGGGATATGTTTGGATGTAAATTGTTTTTTTGTGTATTTGTGTGTGTGTTCTATTTATATATTATATGTATACATATGCGTATCTAAAAGAGAAATGGATTTGGATGGTTTTGGCTGAAAATAAATTGCAACAGCAAACAAGATTGCACGCCTCAAGTACCTTTCAACACACAGGGTTTGGTCCAGACCTGCGTATTGTTGCATTCTGTTTAGATGTGCCTAAAAGCCTGTTGGAGCAAGGAAACCAACCAAAGCCAGAAAATACACCACCACTTGGATAGGCCAGGAATTAGCAAATGGCAAGTGTCACGACTTCAGACTCAGCAAAGGAGCATGAAGAAGGGACCAAGAAGGCAAAGAAAAAATCACAACAATAGAAAGGATTTCACTGACACTGGCCAAGACCAAAACACTTTGGAAAAAAAAATAATTCTAGACTCTTGGGGGTGGCTCCCAGCAAAGACCCTCTGATATTTTTTGTTTTGGTTATTTATTATTTTTCCAGGTTGTTGTTGTTGTTGTTGTTGTTGTTGTTTCTTTTTCGACAATTCCCCCAGGCATATGGCAGTGCATTAACCTCCTGGATTAGAGTGTTGTTATGGTAACTGCTGCACTCTGGTAGCCTGCAGTTCTGATTCTATACTAATTACTGTGGGTGGTTGCAAAATCCTGCACCACCAACAGGATGGTTGAAAGTTGAAACCTTATGAAGAATGGGATGTTTACCACCTATCAACTGGTGCAGGATTTCGCAACCACAGGTTGAGCACATCAGCTGCGCACTGCGGACCTGCGGAAAGCAGCGAGCTTTACACGGACACCCCGCGGTTTTTTTTTCCATAATTTATATGGGATCCACATGGATCCACAATATAAGCAATTCACTTATCAACCATTTGGTAGGCTATACCCGGTATACCCCAACAATCCCAACAATCAACCACAAATTTGGGATATGTTGTTTGCGGACCCAACATTGCTTGGCACGCCATGGCATGCCATGGTGCCTGAAATGGTCCAACTTCAAATTAATTTTCTCACAAAAGAAATCCCGCTGGTGTGCTGCAATTCCTCATGCCAGGGCCATACACAGCAATAGCCGAGGGTTTTGGATGGGGGTTCCAAAAATGAGGCTACAGTTGTGGTGCCTAAAAATGGACACCACAATGACACAATGCACCACAAACAAGTGCTGGCCCAGGTTGTTAGCTAAGTTGTTTTGTAACTAGCATAGCTAGGGTTTATGGCAGGCATATCTGTGGTTCAAATGGTCTATATAGAAAGCAACTTACTTGGGGCCACCCCTTGGTAGAAGTGGGCCCCTGCTATGTTTGTCGCTTTAGCACCCCATCTAGCTGCTAATTACACATGATTTACCTGTTGAAACGGTTAAAATGTTCCATCGTTTGTTAGTTTTTTTTTCTGGACTAAACCTCATGTTGTTTATTTTGCTTATAACAAGTATAACATACGCTTTCGTTTCTGCTAATGATATTCCCATCATCGGTAAACAGGTCGCAATGCCGTTTCACTATTTCATCCTTGATGATGTCCTCAGATTTTCATCCGATGTTCGATGCTTGTTGGTTCTGCCCAGATTCCTGCACTATCTCATTCATTCTGTTGCCATTCCGGCTTCAGCCGGGTGACGCAATAAAATCTCCACCGTAAAGAGCGCGGTGTAGAAGTTCCGAATGACCTGCTCCATGGCAGGGCATGGCATGTTACATTATGTTGTGGCTGGGTAGGCAGGTATTTCTATACACATAGAGTTTGGAGATATTGGACAACCAAAACACGGACTGGGCAGCAGAGACCTTTAGCAATGGTGGTTTAGCGAGATACCCTGCTAAGTTGGTTCAACATGATTCAACTTTTGGTGGGTTGTGGGATAACTATGGGTATCCACGGTATCCCATCTGACCCAAAAAACGCTACACATGTTACGGCTACAATCCATCCAGTTCGTGCTCAGCTACCAGGAGCTACCAAACCAGCTGGTGCCCAAAGGCAAGAAGGTTTGTTCCAGCGGGGTTCCCTGCATTCTCAAGCAGAAACATGATCAATCTCGCAAACACAACCTCAAATGGATCCAAATGGTAAACTGTGGCATGTCACCCCATTTCATAGTTTGAGCTGTGGGATGTTCCATGAATTCTGGACGCCCAAATCGCCAGCACCACAAACACCGCCCCCGCAACCGGCAACCGCCAGGTGCGAGGGCGAAACACGTGCCTTGAGGACCAAGGAGTCCCCGTTGGGGTTGTGCAAGTTGTCCTGAACCTCGACTCCGATGAAGATCGCGTTGGTGACCACCAAGGATGCCTCAGATATGGTGAGATGATCCTCACACAGATAGGGCAGGATAGGAGCAATAGACAGGATAGATAGGATAAATAGGATAGATAGATAGATAGAGAGGATAAATAGGATAGATAGATAGGATAAATAGGATAGATTCGATAGATAGATAGATAGATAAGATAAAATAAGATAAGATAAGATTAGATAGATAGATAGATAGGATAAATAGGATAGATAGATAGGATAAATAGGATAGATTCGATAGATAGATAGATAGATAGGATAAATAGGATAAATAGGATAGATAGATAGATGGATAGATAGATAGATAGGACAAATAGGATAGATAGATAGATGGATAGATAGGATGAATAGGATAGATAGGATAGTTAGTATAGATAGATAGATAGATAGATAGATAGATAGATAGATAGATAGATAGATAGATAGATAGATAGAGAGAGAGAGATAGAGAGATAGAGGGATAGATAGATAGATAGATAGATAGAGATAGATAGATAGATAGATAGAGAGAGATAGATAGATAGATAGAGAGATAGAGGAGATAGATAGATAGATAGATAGGATAGATAGGATAGATAGGATAGATAGGATAGATAGGATAGAGGATAGATAGGATAGATAGGATAGATAGGATAGATAGGATAGATAGGATAGATAGGATAGATAGGATAGATAGGATAGATAGGATAGATAGGATAGATATAGATGGATAGATATAGATGGATAGATATAGATATAGATATAGATAGATAGATAGATAGATATAGATAGATATAGCTAGATATAGATAGATATAGATAGATATAGATAGATAGATATAGATAGATATAGATAGATATAGATAGATATAGATAGATATAGATAGATATAGATAGATATAGATAGATATAGATAGATATAGATAGATATAGATAGATAGATAGATAGATAGATATAGATAGATAGATAGATATAGATAGATATAGATAGATATAGATAGATATAGATAGATATAGATAGATATAGATAGATATAGATAGATATAGATAGATATAGATAGAAATAGATAGATATAGATAGATATAGATAGATATAGATAGATAAGATAGATAAGAATAGATAAGATAGATAAGATAGATAAGATAGATAAGATAGACATGATAGACAGATAGACAGACAGACAGATAGATAGATAGATAGATCGGTAGATCGGTAGATAGATAGATAGATGAGATAGATAGATGAGAGAGATAGATAGATAGATAGGATAAATAGGATAGATAGATAGATAGATAGATAGATAGATAGATAGATAGAGAGATAGATAGAGAGAGATAGATAGAGAGATAGATAGAGATAGATAGAGAGATAGATAGATAGATAGATAGATAGATAGATAGAGATAGATAGATAGATAGATTAGACAGATTAGAGAGATTAGATAGATTAGATAGATTAGATAGATTAGATAGATTAGATAGATTAGATAGATTAGATCGATTAGATAGATTAGATAGATTAGATTAAATTAGATTAGATAGATAGATTAGATAGATTAGATAGGTTAGATAGATTGAATAGATTAGATAGATTGAATAGATTAGATAGATTAGATAGATTAGATAGATTAGATAGATTAGATAGATTAGATAGGTTAGATAGGTTAGATAGGTTAGATAGATTAGATAGATTAGATAGATTAGATAGATTAGATTAGATTAGATAGATTAGATAGATTAGATTAAATTAGATTAGATAGATAGATAGACAGATAGACAGACAGATAGATAGATAGTTAGATAGAAAGACAGATAGATAGATAGATTCATTGATTGATAGATAGATAGATTAGATAGGTTAGATAGGTTAGATAGGTTAGATAGTTTAGAGAGATTAGATAGATTAGATAGATTAGATAGATTAGATAGTTTAGAGAGATTAGATAGATTAGATAGATTAGATAGATTAGATAGATTAGATAGATTAGATAGGTTAGATAGATTAGATTAGATTAGATAGATTAGATAGATTAGATAGATTAGATAGATTAGATAGATTAGATAGATTAGATAGGTTAGATAGATTAGATAGATTAGATAGGTTAGATAGATTAGATAGATTAGATAGATTAGATAGATTAGATAGATTAGATAGATTAGATTAGGTTAGATAGATTAGATAGATTAGATAGATTAGATAGACTAGATAGATTAGATAGATTAGATAGATTAGATAGATTAGATAGATTAGATAGATTAGATAGATTAGATAGATTAGATTAGATTAGATTAGATTAGATTAGATTAGATCAGATTAGATTAGATTAGATTAGATAGATTGATTGATAGATAGATAGATCGATTGATAGATAGATAGATAGATAGAAAGACAGATAGATAGATTGATTGATTGATAGATAGATTAGATAGATTAAATAAATTAGATAATTAGATAGATAGATAGCCGAGGCGCGAAGAAGATGTCGAAGCTCGCTGATGACACGAAGCGCTTGAGCCAGGAATCGTTGATGCCGCTGGAACGCATCGAGCGCCGATCCAGCCTACGGAATGACCATGATCCATGTGGAACACGGGATAAAGCACCCAAAAAACTATGTACATCTAAGGTAAATGTATGGCATATCTATGGTATATCTATGGTATGTCTATGGTGTATCTATGGTATATCTGTGGTATACAGTATCTATAGTTGATGTTATGCACTGATGATTCTACCACTTGGAGGTGCACTTGGGCTTGGCTAAAAATGCCTCTAACGCAACTGAGTTGGCCCCATAAGTTGGGACACCAGCACAACTATCGTCATCCCGCTTCGGGGGATCGCCGGGATAAACCTTCAGCAGTAACCAGCTGCTAAAAAATGACAACACGCACCTTTTATCTTTTTGGAGACAGGCCAAGCAGAATTATCACAATCATATCAATCATATAATCCATCCACCTCGCCACCTCCCCATTTTCAGACCAGGCGTCCCGAGAACTCGGCTCGCTTGATCTGCATCAACATTGGCAGCACCCTCTTTGAGCTGAAGATCAAACTGAGTGAAGGTACCTAGGTGTTGGGCAGATTTATCCTCTGGTCATTTGTTGCAGTTTTCTGCGGAAAATCGCCATTGAAATACTCGGTAAATCACGATCCATGGGTATCTTAATGGGTAAATCCATCTCCCTCTATCCATCGCCATCCAAGACTGCCCGAGGCAGCGGCGAGAATGCATACTAGGTACATTTTGATGGGCCATGGCTTCCATGGCTATCTTCAAATCTTCAACTACCAGAACTGGTGGCCTAACCCCCCAGACATATTGTGGTCGCTTGGAGATCATGATGATGATGAGTGGGATCATCATGATGATCATCATGATCAGCAGCATCAATGGGATATGAAAATCAGAGGCAACCAGTCTGCTAATTTGGGGCATGGGGCATCTCCAAAGTTTGATACGCTCCAAGTCAAAATTTGTCGAACCCATTCTGCAAAAGAAAAACTCCGCCACTTTGAGTCTCAAACCATTGAAGTAACCCTCTGCTTTACCTGACATCGGGACCTCATTCATTTGTTGCTGGTGCTTCAGGCCCATAGCCATCTCCGCCCACATTGGGCCAGGACTCTGAAGAGCTTCGGCGTGAAAGTGTAGCTTCCCTGGACAATTTCACACCCCGATGGGCAGCGCTCTGAAAGGGGGGCGTCAGACTCGAGAATTGCAGGAAGAACATGGAAGAACCATGTGTCCTAAGCACCTCTTGAGGTGCAGGGAGGTATCCCAAGATATCTAAAGTACCAGGGCCAACGCAAAGAGCCAAAGCCACACCATCCCCAAGCAACATCTGAAGCGAAGGCATGTTCAGAGCATGTTTACGATGTGGGGTCCGAACATCAGCCAGCGCCTGAAAAGTATCAGTCACCGGGACGTGCTCGACCGTCCCAACGTGTTATCTATGCATATATATATATATATGTGTGTGTATGTATATATGTATGTTTATATTCATGTAGGTATAAAATCCATACCAATATGTTTATATATTATATACATATACTCATATAGTCTAGTCAATAAATATGCGTGATATGTTATATATATATGTGTGTGTGTGTATTATTAATTATTGATTGTGTGTATGTGTGTGTGGATAAAGATTTGATGGACTTTGACGCCAGGGCACGTGGGCGCGTGAGCGTGAGCGCTTGATGACATTAGGTGCATGTGCAGCCACAGGTTGCTCCACATCGAAGGCCACTCCTTAGTGATGATAATAGTGATAATTAATACTTCATAGTGGTTAACAATGGTTAATACTGATTAATAGCGGTTATCAATGGTTAGTAATGATTGATAATGATGAATAGTGGTTAACTATGGCCAATACTGATTAGTAGCGGTTATCAATGGTTAGTAATGATTGATAATGATGAATAGTGGTTATCAATGGTTGATAATGATGAATAGTTGTTAACAATGATTAAACATCATTACATAATAATGTTTTTCATAGTGAATCATAGTTCACTTTGTGGAATAATGGTCAATGATGTTGATTCATGGCGATGGAATGACCCTCCTGGGGGAAATCATCAGGTGATCTTTTGGGAGCCGAAGTCAGTCGGCAATCCCCGTGGTTTTTTCGGAGACGCCGCCAGTTTTTTCGGCGGCCAAATGTGATAGGATGTGATACTTGTATTGGATCAAATCCCAACTTGTTAAGTGGTTAAACCGAAACTTTTCTGCTTTTGGGATGAATTCCATCCTCACTCGTGCTGGGTACATCCATTCTCCTTCTCGTTGGTTGTATATAAAGTGGATACCCAAAATGAAGGTACGGTACATATATATATAACATATATATATATATACAGTACAAATACTGGACGTAATCCCCACTATGGTCGATTTTATACCCCCCCAAAAAAAAAAACATATTTCCATCTTTGGGTAAAAATCCCCCTGTGTTTTGACCGTTGCTCTTGATTCGAGCCGCTCGCATCTCGCTGCTGTTCCCGCTCGCTGCTGCGACGCTCGCTGCTGCGGCGCTCCCGTTCGCCCACTTGAGGTGCACGCTCCTCTGGAGCAGCAATCATGGGTGATCCAACTGGCCCCCAATGTATATGTAATTGGCAAGGTGGTAAACCCTGATTCTTAGAGGGTTTATACTAGATACCATCCATTTCTATATTGTATTATTGGGTTTACTGTACCACATCACAGATATATATATATATATAGATATATATATATATATGTATATATATATATGTATAGGGATGCCCGCAAAAAATAGAAAAAATGTATATATATATATATATGGTTTATCACTATTTGAGCGGGATGTGTTTTTACCAACTTCCATCTTTTTGGGGATGATATGGGATGACTATGATACAACCAGCATGGTATTGAAATTTTCTGGGCTGTTCATCAACCGTTTGATGGGAATATGATTGGGATATTCAACCGGGGCCCCCAGTCAGGGCACCCCTCCAATAACAAATACCGTGCTGTCCTGAAAGGTTCGACACATCTGGGGACGTTTCGAAGATCTAAACCATTCTAAACTAGGCATCCACTAATGGTAAGGTCTGTAAGTAAAACCTTTACATTGTATAATATATATATATATATACATACATACACAATTACTGTGTATACCTATGTATATATATTATTATATACACGTTTGACAAAGGCCGGGGTGAATGCCATCATGGTTTGATGATTTCAACATGAAATTGGGATGATTGCTCCAGGTACGTGGGTTGTTAATATGGGATCTCGCTCACAATGATGAAGATTGTGTCAATATGGGAATCTACTGTCCGATGGGCTGATGGCATCTGAAACCCCAGACCTAGCAGGAATCCACAAAAAACAGATATAAATAGGTGCTTGTTGCTTTCCAAACCCGGCAAAGGAAAGTCCTTTATTTACATGTCTGGCTCTGGCACTTTCCCCTTGGGCACGGGGATTCCAAGGTTTTACCGGCTTGCCATTCAAAAAAGGAAACCGACCCTTGGAATTCCCGTCTCAAGGGATGAAAAATCACCACAGCAATGCAAAATCCCATGTTCTAAATGATTTACCTTGTGCTAATTTATCGATACATATGTATGTATATAATTGTACGTATATATATATATATATATATATAGTGTGCGTGTGTGTGTGTGTGCGTGTGTGTGTGTGTGTGCGTGTGTGTGTGTGTGTGCATTTTTATGTAAATGTGTCTTGAAAAATATGTTTGCATTGTCTAAAGTGTCTAATTTTAAACATGAAGGATAATGTGTAAATAGAAATCCTTTTTAAGATTCGAAGACCATGGGAAACAATTTAAAAACGCATATAAAATCATATAAGCAAGGCTTCGTGTTTTCCCATGGTTACCAACTCATTCCCCAATTCACCACCGACCTGTACAACCTTCTCAGCAGCTAATGCCCCATGGGAATGGGCACAGCCCAGAACTTTCCTTAAAGGCGATCTGATGGATCGGGGCTGATGGGGCACCAACTTTAGGGCGGCTGATCTAACTGCAGCAAGTCATAAAAAAAAACTCAATGGTCAGGGCCCAGTCAGCACCCTTTCCAGTCACGATTGAAGCACTTTGGATGGCGCCAAGGTCGTTGTCATTTGCAGCTGAAACCGGCTGGGGGAAGGCCGGGTGATCGAACGAAAATCATCATGAAGATTTTTGGGTGCTACCAGCATGTTGGACTTCCAAAGGGTACTTGGTCACGCTAAAATGGTTTCTAGGTTTTTTCTAGTAGCACTCCCGTTACGTCACAATTCATCTTGGACTTCAATTGAACATACATGAACTCAAGAATACCGATACCTAAGAGAAAAAACGAGACCAGCAATTCCAACCGTCCCGACTCCACGAAGCTTCAGCAAGATCTCCTCATGCGATTGCAACTTCTCCAAGACCTCTCGGACTGTGTGCCCCCGATCTCCCCAAATGTTGACCCCACTGTGCCATTGGCCCCCAAGAAAAATCAGGAACACCATGGGAAACTTTGGAGGGTTGGTCGTTTGTTGACACCTGGCCAAGTCTTCCCACACCGCTGCCTCGGCGTGGTGTTTTTCCAACAGGTGATGAGTATGTAGCTCCACTGGATGAACTTCACCTTAGAATCTGATTGCTTCGAGCTCGAGAAGAGCTAAACCAATGGAATCACAAAATTTGATCATTTTGGCGTACTCAACTTTCAAACCATCTAGGGCTGACCCGGATCCTTCCGAGGAAAAAAAAACGGTACACCCGCAGACTTGACGGCGAACATCCTTTCCCGACACGAAGAAGCAACGCATCAGGGAGAACAAAACAACCACAACCTGTTTCTTGGTACTGGATCTATATTTCGGAAGGCATCAAGGTATCTTAGGGTATCGATCAATGTCTTGCCAAGCCAGGCAACACTGCAGGCCTTGGCGAGAGATGCCACAGATTTGATCTCAAAGGAAATGGAATTTAACCAACAAAAATGGTTGTTTAACCATACATCATAGATAAATATGTATGTATGTATGTATGTATGTATGTATGTATGTGTGTATGTGTGTGTGTGTATGTATGTATGTATGTATGTATGTATGTATGTATGTATGTATGTATGTATGTATGTATGTATGTATGTATGTATGTATGTATGTATGTATGTATGTAGTATGTATGTATGTATGTATGTATGTATGTATGTATGTATGTATGTATGTATGTATGTATGTATGTATGTATGTATGTATGTATGTATGCCTGTATGTGTGTATGTGTGTATGTGTGTATGTGTGTATGTGTGTATGTATGTATGTATGTATGTATGTATGTATGTATGTATGTATGTATGTTTGTATGTATGTATGTGTGCGTATGTGTGCGTATGTGTGCGTATGTATGTGTGTGTATGTGTGTGTATGTATGTGTATGTATGTGTATGTATGTGTATGTATGTGTATGTATGTATGTATGTGTATGTATGTATGTCTGTATGTATGTATGTATGTCTGTATGTATGTCTGTATGTATGTCTGTATGTATGTGTATGTGTATGTGTATGTGTATGTGTATGTGTATGTGTATGTGTATGTGTATGTATGTATGTATGTATCTATGTATGTATGTATGTATGTTTGTATGTATGTATGTATGTATGTGTGTGTATGTATGTGTATGTATGTGTGTGTATGTATGTGTATGTATGTGTATGTATGTGTATGTATGTATGTGTGTGTATTTATGTATGTATGTAAATGGGGTCCTAAGCATTCCACGGGCACCATCAGCATGCAGCAAAACAAATCCGACAATGCGTCACGTGTAAATAGTTTCTCCCTGCATCAAGCCATCAGATTGGGTTCTGTGCAAGTTCGTTCTCGAATGTTGAAACATGTGCCAGAAAGGATAAATTTCCTATGTCATATTCATTGCTATACTGCTATACTTCATTGCCAATTTGTCTGGCTGAATTCGAATTATTCATCAACCTGAAATGTTCGGTGAGTTTGGAATACCCTCCCGTGCGTCATCAAACATGGTGATTTTGAGCATTTTCAACCTCCATGGATCCTCCATGACTCACCTGCGCCCCTTTGCCTGGTCGCACCGCTTTGCTCGTGGGTGGCTCCTGTGGGTGCCCACTGCCACTCCCAACCAAAACGGTCCCGGAACTTCATCCAATTCATCCATTTTTTGGAAAACGTCCGTGATGGCGACAGGTGTGAGGAATGGGGAGTTAAAAACCTGATGGTTGTCCATGTAGCTCCCTCCATCCTTGATGATGATGATCATGATTACCGCCCCCTCGTCATTTCGTTTGGAATCTGGAACATGTTTCTTTGCAAGGACATGTTTTTATGTTCATCTCTGCTTTAGCCGCATCAAGTCCGCCAACAATCATCAGTATCAGTATCATTGCTAGATCGTCAACCTTGCTTTTCGCAAAATCCACTATATAAACATACATAAACACCAATAGGAAATTTTGATAATCCAACATATAATCCTGGTGATGAGGCGGGAACAAAATGCAACATATATCCGTTCATTCTATGCAGAACCCTGCCCCCAACGGAGGACATGGCCAACCTTAAACGAAACTGGCGGCTTGGTGCTTTTCGCGTGCGATGTGCCACGCGCACAGACACACACTAGACAAGAATGGATCTATAATTGATCCGTCAGGAACTGAATCCCCTCACGTGCAAATTTGACTGGAAAACAATAGTTAAAGAAGAAAAATCGAATAATGGGAGGTGCTCCGAAAAGACAATCGCGACCAGAAGCGCCTCCAAAAAAAGTCCCAACAATTGAAAATAATCACTGTAAGGTTCTCGGCTTAGCCCTTGGCCATGACTGAAAAAATACCATGCCCATAGGTTGAAAACGACGCCAAAGAAAATCTCAGATTGCGACAACCGTGTGAAACCAAAATTCTGTTGTTGAGGTTCTCGGCTTAGCCCCTTGCCACCACTGCAACATAAACAGCAGGTACGTCACGGTGATCAGCCATGATATCCGCATGTACTGTGGCCGCTTCGTTGGACCAGCTCACAGTACATGGATGGTCCCCCTGCAGAAGGAAAGAAAGAAAAAAGGAAAGGTTTTACATCTATTCAGATGTTACACACACACACGAAAAAAGAAACATAAAATCTACCCAGCCAAGTTCACACAGTTTTAGGGGCAGTTCATCTTACCCATGTGGGCCAATTACAAATATTATTGAATAATGTTGAATGTTGACAATGTTGGCAACCCAATTATAAACCTACCATTTGGGGATGGTTTACACAACCCGTTTATGGTGATTTTGGGGATAGTGTATTTTTGGGGTTTACATGGGTTTACCACATTATATCCGGTGAGTATTAATCATTGACCACTAGATATGATAATATGAACATTAACCATTATGAGCCCATATTAACCATTATTAAGTATTATATAAAACAATTAAGCCTCATTAACCATTATTATCATTCTTAGCCATTAATCGTTATCATATGATTATATATAATGTGGGACAAACAATGTCATAAACCACCCATTGAGGAATGGTTTATACCACCTAGTATAAAAATTGTGATTTGGGGGATGGCTTATGGCCTTTTTTACCCACATTAATGTGATATGTTTATATATATATATATAAATATTATAACATCGACCCGAACAGTTCGACCCCATTTTTGCCGCTGGCCTCAGGAAGTTGCTCGGAGGGCAAAGCCATGCTCCTTCCCTGTGGCGATTTGAGGCAAAAATCACGGCACTCTACACCCACTTGCCTATAGCAACCCCCAAAAAAGGAAAGAAGTTGGCAAAACATCCCATTCAAATAGTGATAAATAGATTTCTATAGTGGCAACAACATGTTTTTGTATGTTGTTGTTGGATCTTGTTTGGTTAGCTATGTCATTTACCAAGGTTTACCTTATCCGAACCACTTGTATAATCTTGCATCCACTTGCTACATGTGATGAGATTCCTATCACCAGGGTCCTGCGCATCCGCCCTGACTGATTCAGCACTAGGGATGGCCGCAGTTCATAACCATGGGCATTAACCCTCGGTGTCATCACACATGACGGGGGAAATCCCCAAAACTAAATGGATGCTTTAAGGTGAAAATCATCGAACAAAATGGATCAGAATGGGATGGCTTTCCACCATATTTGATGACGCCAGAGGGCAATATCTTTCAGCTTCAACCCGATCTCCGACGGCCCGTGCCTGCTGTGGACGCTGAGACAAGTGATTGAACCAAAATTCAGCGCGACAACAACTTTTAAGCGAAGGATAATAACAATAATAATAGTAATAATAGTAGTAATAGTAATAATAATCAGAAAAACAGTAACCGAAGGAAGTTTAGAAGCCAAACTTCTGACAATATGGGCAGATGAAAAGCAGAGATGGGAAGAGTCAGGGAGAAGAGAAGAGTAGAAGAGAGAAGATCAGAGAAGAGAAAGAGTCAGAAGAAAGAAGATGCAGATGCGCGAAAAGGTAGGAAAGTCGCGAAACACTGTGTTTTTTCCAATGATTTGTGGCTCCGGAGGGTCGAAAAGTAGGCTCGCTAAAGCGGCGGGTGCGGAGCCATCTGGCCAGATGAGAGATGAAAAATTGCACGCCGTTGTGGCGTGAAGCACTTTTCGAAGTCAAAATGTACAAAGCACACCATTCATTCTCGGACCAGTTTTGGAAGTTGAGAGTCGAAAAAGTGCACGCCGTGGTGGCGCGAAGCACATTTCGAAGTCAAAATATTAAAAACACCAGGGGTTCGGACCACTTTTGGACGTTCAGATGTCGTTCCGCGTGGCAAGCGCAAGGGATTGTGGACCTTGTCAAAAGTGAGCAAAACGTGAGGGCTTTGTAGCATGTCCAAAAACGATCAAAAACGATGGCAAGCGTGGGACATTTGAAGAGGATCTGTAATGATGCATTTTCCGTGACAGGCCCAGTACAAGATACATCTTCATCAGCGCTGTTAGGAGGTCCGGGCGCTGATTTCCTGAGAGAGGTTCCATTTTGGAGCCTCAGATCTTCAGGTTTGCTGATGACCTAGCCTCACTTTTTCGTGGCAGGCGCAGTACTTTAGACAGGTGGATTGGAAAAATCGCAAAACGCATTGGTACCCGGCCGTCAGCTCTGCACTCAACTTTCCATTTTTGAAGGAAGTCTCGCAGAATTGCTTTGTTTTTGATGTCGTCATCTTCCAAAATTGAGGAAGTCTCGCAGAATTGCTTCGTTTTTGACGTAGTCTCGGAGAATTGCTTTGTTTTTGATGTTGTCAACTTTGAAACATGGAGAAGTCTCGAAGAATTGCTTCGTTTTTGACGTTGTCAAGTTCAAACATTGAGGAAGTCTCGCAGACTTGCTTCGTTTTTGATGTTGTCAACTTTGAAAAATGAAGAAGTCTCGCAGAATATCTTGGTTTTCAAGCTTGCAGATAGACAGGTAGATAGATAGACAGACAGACAGACAGAAAGAGAGATAGAGAGATAGAGAGATAGAGAGATAGAGAGATAGATAGATAGATAGATAGATAGATAGATAGAAAGATAGATGGATCGATCGATCGATCGGTAGGTAGGTAGATACTCAGAGAAAGAGAGAAAAAGAGAGAGAAAGAGAGGAGACATCAATCACCTTTCGATCCATCAGTGGCTTCGCTCTGCCATCCGTGATTCACAACAACCAATCTTTCCTATAGGTTTCCTATTTTTGAAACTTCCGCCACCGCCTTGCGCGGTACTACTGGTAGCCGCTACCTGGTAGCCGAAGGAAGTTTAGAAGTCAAACTTCCGACAGTATGGACAGATGGAAAAGCAGAGGTGGGAAGAGTCAGAGAAGAGAAGAGAAGAGAAGAGAAGAGAGAAGATCAGAGAAGAGAAAGAGTTAGAAGATTAGAAGAAAGAAGATCCAGGCGCGCGAAAAGGTACGAAAGTCGCGAAACACGGCGTTTTTTTTCAATGAGGTGTGGCTCTGGAGGGTCAAAAAGTAGGCTCGCTAAAGCGGCGGGTGCGGAGCAGTCTGGCCAGATGAGAGATGAAAAATTGCACGCCGTTGTGGCGCGAAGCACATTTCGAAGTCAAAATGTACAAAACATACCATTCTTATTTCGAAGCCAAAATGTACAAAACTCACCATGCTCAGACCCCTTTTGGAAGTTCAAATGTTGAAAAAGTGCACGCCGTTGTGGCGCGAAGCACATTTCAAAGTCAAAAGTGTAAAAAACTGACGGGTTCGGAGCACTCTTGGACGTTCAGATGTCGTTTTGGCGGCAGGCGCAAGGGACTATGCACCTTGTCAACAGCAAGCAAAACGTGAAGGTTTTGTAGCATTCCAAAAACGATGGCAGGCGTGGGACATTTGCAGAGGATCGCAAAGATGCATTTCACGTGGCAAGCGCTGTACAAAATGTTCATCAGAGATGTTAGGAGGTTAGGGCGCTGATTTTTTGAGAGGGGTTCATTTTGGAGCATCAAATCTGTAGGTTTGATGAGATGATTTTGCGTGACAGGTGCAGCACTTCGTATGACCTGGCATATTTTTTTTGTGGCAGGCGCAATACTTTAGACAGGTGGAGTGGAAAAATCGCAAAACGCATTGGTACCCGGCCGTCAGCTCTGCACTCAACTTTCCATTTTTGAAGGAAGTCTCGCAGAATTGCTTTGTTTTTGATGTTGTCATCTTCCAAAATTGAGGAAGTCTTGCACGTTTTTGATGCTGCCAACTTCAAAAATTCCAGGAAATCTCGCAGAATTGCTTCCTTTTTGACGTTATCAAGTTCAAAAGTTGAGGAAGTCTCGCGGAATTGCTGCGCTTTCAAGCTTGCAGATTGCAGATAGACAGATAGACAGATAGACAGATAGACAGATAGACAGATAGACAGATAGATAGATAGATAGACAGACACAGAGATAAATAGATAGTTGTAGTTGTAGTTGTAGTTGTAGCGCAATGTAAAGTAATTAGTGTAGTGCAGCGCAGTGTTGTGTAGTGTAGTTGTAGTTGCATTTGTATTTGTAGTTGTCGTGTGCTGCAGTGTATTTAGTGCAGTGCAGTGTAGTGTGGTGTAGTTGATATTGTTGTTGTAGCTGTGGTCGTAGTAGTTGTTGTAGTTGCAGTGTAGTTAGCGTAGTGTAGCGTAATTAGATGTAATTATATAGTGTACTGCGGTGTAGTGTAACTAGTGTAGTGTAATGTAGCGTAGTTTATTTGTATTTGTAGCTGTGGCAGTAGTAGAGTGTAGTGGTACTGGTAGGAGTAGTTGTAGTTGTAGTTGTCTATCTGTCTGTTTACACTACACAACAGTACAACTACAACTACACTACCTTAAGCTACACTACACTAGACTACACTACACTGTACCACACTACAGTACACAACACTACAGTACACTACAATACACTACACTAATTACACCACACCACAACTACAACTGCAACTGCAACTACACTACACTTATTACACATAATATTTACACATTACAACTACAACTCCACTACACCACACTACAACTACAACTACAACTGCACTACACCACACTACATCCAGCAGTTGAGGATGAGGTGACCACTGCAACCATTGCAACCACTCCAAAAAACACAACTTTCGGTCCATCAGTGGATTCGCTCTGCCATCCGTGATTCACAACAACTCTCCTATAGGTTTCCTATTTTTGAAACTTCCGCCACCGCCTTGTGCGGTACTACTGGTAATAATCATAATAGTAATAATATGTAATAATACTTTAGCACACTTTAGCTACCGTAACAATAGTTAATAGTTCTGACATGTTCTAAGTTCTACGAGGACCCTGTCCTTTTGCGCCAACTGGAGTCGTTCCATGGGGAATCGGCCACTGGCGGAATCTGAGTCTCTCAGGTGTAGCTATGTCCTTCAAATGCCGAAAAAGAGTCCTTAAGAGCATGCAGAATATCAAACAAACCCTGACAACAACATTTCATGAGCTCACCCCATAAGGAAGTGCCAAGACTCGAGCCCCATGAAGCAAAAATGCCAGGTGTCATATCACTAGTTCGTACCAGATGATTGCCATTCGGGCGCGCAGCAGCAAGTTATTTCATCATATTTCATCACCCTCCATAAGTTTGGATACAGTAGTCCCATCCCCTATTCAACGCCCCCATTCTGTCCTGATTATGTGGTTTCATCCCCTAAACCATGGTTTCTCGGGGGGGTGTTCACCATACAGCCATCTCGCAGCATTTCTCTCTCTGCCCGTGGAGCCCCGTTCTTTGAATAGGGCCCACACGTCCAGGTACTGCTGCACTGCAAACGATCCGCATGGATCAGCTATGATCAGCTCCTCAGAAAATCCCAAGGAACAGAAAAACACATTGAAACCAACTGGCCATATAATCCTATGCATGTGTCTGTCTGTCATATGGTTTAAAAAACCACTTACTAACTGAGATTCACATGCAAATGTTTCAAACGTTTCCCAAATCTCACTTCATTGGCAAATCTTGTGAAGGACACAACGGCACAAAGACAAAGAGGCAGCCCCAAATCCTGAAATTCAGCAGCCACGCAAAGTGGCAAGGGTGACCAGAGAGGAATTCAATCCCACGCAACCCTGGAAGTCCAACAAATCAAACGAAATGCCTCGCACCAAATCCTTGATGTCCCAACTCAAGCGCTATCAGGTCGTCAAAAAATAATCCCATTCCAGGTTCACATTAAACACCCCCATGGTAACCAGGT